CACTCCTGGTGAGGTGTCCCATTCTGCTGCCCGGTGATTCGCTTCAATGAATCTGGATGAATCTGTACAACCATGTTTGGGATAAATAATGAAAGTTGGACATAACAAATGATTCAGCTTCCCTTCCTCAACATCTTGATAGTGGCAGTGTTATACAATACAAAACAAGTCATGCAAACATAATAGAGTCAGAGAAATAAGTCGTCTTCATTATAACTGCTGCTATAGAGTGGAGTCACAAATAATCCTTAAGAAGGGTTCTACACTTCTGGTCCCTCATGGACATTTAGAGAGAAATCAAGTTGATTGTGTTTTTTAAAAAAATATTTATTTAAATGCACATATGTGCAGAGGCAAACACATTATAGCAGAATGAAACAGCTTGACAGCTATATCTACTCTCTAATATGTGGACAAACATGCTATTTCTAATAATCATACAGATTATTTCTTTGTATCTATTTTTATTTATATACTGAAAGATGGCGATTGGGAAAATGATTGTTTTGATTATGAATCTAAAATGCAAAAAAAGTCCCAAGTTGATTGAGAACATAAGAACACTATTGTACAAAAGAAATCAAGCTGATTGTTGACTCTAGTCTAAAGTAGTGAAAATAATTGATCTGTGTATATGGAGTTCTTCACCGTTTGCAGTACAATTTTCCACTCAAACAAGCATACCCGCAATCAGTTATATCTATCAGCATATTCAAATTCATATTTAAATATTATTTAAATGCAGATTTACATATTTTTTTTTAAAAAAATAGTTTAATATACCAGTAGAAACAGATTTATGAACATATATATGTGAAAATAATATAAGTCAGCAAGAAAGACTGATTCTTTCAATGCTAGGCATTTCACCGCAGATCTGATAACATGCATTATTTAAACTGAAAGAGAAATCTAATTTATGTGTTACTTGAGCTAGGAAATGTGCAGTGACATAAAAATTCTTTTGAACCTTCTAAATATATAAAGTCAGGAAAAGGCCATACTGGCGCTCTAAAAAGTATAGAAAGATATGCCCAAAGAATGTTCAATTACACAAGTAATAAATTTTCATAGTGACTGATGAAATATTAATACCAGGGACAACAATGATTAATGTACTCCAATGATGAAATAATGGACTATTATTGCTCCAATATTGTGGGTGATGAATAATTTTTACAGATTGTAGATAGTATGGGTTTTTTTTAAAAAAATCCTATTGACATTAGCATTTCAATTTAATTAAAATTATAGCCACTTGGGTTCTTTTAAGATTGATGGTTATGATGATCACAGCTAATAATATTACAAATGACTTCAATGGCACCAAACAATGGATTGGAAATAAATGCCATATTTGTCTACAATTATGATAGAGAGTGACCAGTGCATTCAGGAAACAGGACCACATTCTTTCAGAGTCCAAAAGAGTGAGAAATGTTGTTCTTAGTAAGAGTAACATTTAACGAGCTTGGCAGGAAAGGCAATCTGATGTTTCATTATCTTTTAAATGATTTTGCCATAGAGTCTAAAATATATTGTCAGTACTTGCTGACAAATGCCATTAAATAGGACATCACACACATGAGTTTGGAGATGCTTGCAAATGTTTTTGTTATGCTAAGTCACCCTTTCTCCCTATGGCGTATTAGCAGATCATCTGACCTTTCTATCCATCCAATTTTGAATGGCCCTGGGCGCTGAATACAGCTCCATTTGGACAGATCTCATCATCCAGGTTATAATTAGAAGGCCAATGTTTAATTATTATATTTATGGGAAGCACAAAAGATGAAGCTACACAATTACTGTTAGGGCACAGTTATTAGCGGCTTAACCCACAAGAGCGCTTGAATTATTGTGCATACATTTCAGGACTGAATGAAGAGAAGGAGGACGCCATCACTGAGCCCACAAAAATAAAACACCCTATTCAATGAGTGTAGAAGAAGCTTGATGGGATACTTATGCTAGACATGAACTACCGGGCAGTAGTATCTGCTGCAAATGTTAAAGAATAATTTCTGAAGATTGTTATTTTAATTTATCCTCTCTTAGAAATGTTTAATCCAACCTTATCAGAGGGTACAAAACTACACAAGCACAAGGTGAAAAACTGGTCACCGGAATCCTGAATTGTTAACATCTTGTCCTACCAACAGAAAGCCCAAGGAAACAATTCCAGAATATTACTTGCTTGTAGGCAAATGCATACATAACAGCTGTTATGCTGAAAACATCTCAGACAAATTGCTGTATCTTTTATCAAGTAGCAGTGGCCTGAAGCCAATATTTGGCTGTAAATCCCAGTATACATGACCTGCCTAGGCAGCTCTGCTTCATTTCTAGCAGCAAAGTGCAAAAAGAAAAAAAGAAAAAAGGTTGTTTCCCTCTCCTGTGCCCACTTTGTCTCACTCCACATCCTTGATGTATGTTCTTGATTGATGTCCTCCAGCTTTTTTGCCTCCGCCATCTCACATCTTTCTTCCTTTTGTGCATGCACAGAGCAGGTGGCTTTACACCTGCTTCTCCCTCCCTCGTTCTTATTATTCTTCTAGATCTCCAATTCTGTCTCTGATGCTGCTGCCCCTTCTCTCAATCCTTGTTTATTCTGTTCTTCAGCCCAAAACAGTTCTTTGAAAGATCAGCATAGATGCGAGGTTATGGAGAAGGAAGAAAACTAACTCAAGCACTATTTCTTAAATGACAAAAATGCACATTTTGAACCTGGGTTCAGATTGTTTCCAGAAGAGAAGGAACTAGATATTCCTGGTTCCATCTCTCCTTTTTTTTGCAGCCTGATGGTTGATGGAAGAAGGGATACTGTATAATGAAGCTGATCCCTCAGCAGAACTGATGGAATAGCTTGCTTCACTTCTTTCTTTCTGTCTTTTCTTTCAAGAGATCTTTGATAAGTTGGTCCAGATGTTATCAGTGCACATTCAGTCACATAAGATCTCAATATCTGGAGAAGATCTTAAGGAATCCCTAAAGTATTTATTTATATCTACATATATGGATAGATTTCTATAATGCCTTACTTCGATTAACAAATGGATTGTTATATTTTTATTTTGTTCACCTCCCCACATTTCTCTGGATAAATGGGCAACCATACAAGATAGACAGTCAGATATGCTCTTTTAAAATACCTTATACAAGTCAATACCTTATATAAGCGTAAGGTATTATGCAAACACATTCAAAGTGGTTTCAGTTAATTCCCAGCTGTCTTTTCCCCGCTTCTAATTTATTCCATAAAATCTTCCATTTCCTCTGCTTTGTTTTGACAAAGATGTTCCTTGGAAATGATCAGTTTAGAATTACATATTAATTTGTGCACAGGGCTAAAATAAGCAATGGCTAGGTCAAAGTAAAAGTAAGTGGTACCATCAATTATTCATCTTTAACATACTGTACACCCTTTTCTTTCTGACTTCTCTCCCTTTCTTTCTGACATCAGCATTGCCAACTGTCTGATTTGCAAATCATTCCCAAACTAACCCATATTCCTCCTCCTCTTGATTTATCCTCTTCTTCTGCGATTCCAACATCTATTCTGCATGGTATTTTCATCCCCTAGAACAGGGTGGGCCAAGCTGGCTCAGGAATTCTGGGAGTTGAAGTCCACAGATTGTAAAAGAGCCACATTTGTGCACTCCTGCCCTAGAAGAAATCATTTCACAAATGGCAAACCAAGCATTTGTCTTCTGAGAAGCCCCAAAAGCCTCCTCTTATCCATGGGTACAGTTCAGCTTTGCAGTTGGCTTGGTTGATCAGTGGCAACAAACCAAGAGGACGGTCTTGTTAACAAAGCTGTCTTTCAGAATTTTTCTTCGAGTTGGGTCAATTTCATTTTATTTCATTTTTCATTTTATTAAATTTGTATACCGCCCTACTCCCGAAGGACTCAGGGCGGTGAACAGCCATAAAATAAAACATATAAATACAAAATTTAAAATAGAGATAAAACAAATTAAATAAATTTGGCTGAACCATATTTAAAACCCCAATAATTTAAAACCAAATTTAAAATTCCCATTTAAAAGAGGAAAATTGAAATGGAAATCAGAAGTGGGGGCACAGCAAGCTGTTTCTCCAGTGGAAAATAGTAGGTGGTTTCAAAGACAAGTTGGAACAAAAGGAACATGAGTGAGAGACATTGATTCCATCTCCAGGTTTTTCAAAGATGAGTAGAAGTTTGATCTGGTTGGCATCTCCTGTTTGTGTTGTACGATTGGTGAGGGCTGATTTATTAGCAGAAGAATGTGATCATTATGTGATAGGGTACACAAGCTTATCTCCATCTCTTAGATCCCTTTAGCTTAAGAAATAATGTATTCTCCGAGATCTGAATAACTAAGTATTTCAAAATATTTTTAAAAGGTTACCAACTGTTCAGTGATAACCTCTATTGGTTGTTGACAAAACATGATCCAAAATATTTATTAAGTATGAGTGGAGCCAAATGGAAAGATTCAGAATCAGAATGTATGGTGAACAAGGACATTTAAGCTTTAAATCTTAATTACAATGAGTCTAACAAATTAGCAGAAGTCCATTGCTTTAGTTATTTTACTTTGGCATATGGGGATATTTCTGAATGATTTTTACGTGAAGTACTTTGAGCAAAAGGACGCTTTATCAATTTGCAGCCTTAGAAATAGTAATAACAAATCAGATGGCATGTTTTCCATTGTAACAAAATACTTTAAACTGTAAATTATTTTTTACTCTTTTGTAATATAAAATTGCGACAATAATGGTAGATTAACTTCATATTTTAGAAAAGCTGCTCAAAACAAGAGAAAAGGAGTGTGTGTGTGTTTTACAGTCATTTCCTCAGTCACCTTTAAATTGCTATTAATTTAGAGATGGTATATCAAAGAATATCCATCCTTTTATGGACATATTGTAATGAGTTTGTCAAGGAACTCTTTCAGATTATTGAGTCAATTTTAAAACTTGTCTTTCCTTCTCCTCCTTCCAAATGTATGTAGGCAAGATCTGGAAACACGTGAGGCTGTCGTGACTATCCCAGGAATTACTATGAAAAGGTCCAGAATCGGCAATCCCTGGTCATCTCTCATTGGGCAGCCAACAGGACCAATATTTATAGGTGGCCTACCACATCACTATGCAATAAAGCAGGTAAGAGATTTTATCTTGTGCTACACCTGGAGTGCCTTATATTTAAAAAGGTGAACACTATTGTAGCAATAAGTTAAGGTCCATTTGTAGGATGGCATTTGTACCATAGACAGTGTGAATTTACTAATAGGAGGGTAAAGACACCCTTGAGTTTACTTGACTCCTGGTAACTACGTTTACAGAACTATAATATAGAAGCAGTTTGGGATCTCCCCTGGGATAATTTTCAACTTTTCAACATCTAGTTTACAGTTCTACTATTCTTGGTGGTCTTCTTTCCAAAATTAATGAGCTCCTACTCTGCTTAGCTTCCAAGGCCACTGAAAGTAGATGAGGTTCTTGTTTTTTGTTCTTTTTTCGTGTTGACCTATCCTCATGCTTTCTTTGAAATTGATTGACTTACACATTCTTTTCACTATTATGAGCTACCCTGAATCTCCATTCAAGTGCACATTTGAATAGCAGGATGAAATATTGATAATTAATAAATAAATAAATAAATAAATAAATAAATAAATAAATAAATGGAAATACTTCATGAAAAAAGGACATAGGATAAACATCCATATTTCCTATTTGAAATTAACATGGACGATTTAGCTTTCACCCTACAGTTCATCTGGCTTGCATTTCTTTTATATATGGTTCAGACTAAAGGAGTCCATAGACTGTGGCATCTGCAGGTTCCGAAGCTTTTGTCAAAATGATGAAAAAGTCAGGCCATACAGTGCAGGCTCCGTCGCTTTGCTATTACAATGCCTGCATGAAAGAGACAAGGCTTTATCATGACAACACAGTGCTGCTTTCATTATCTAGGCCCCCTCCCTCCTAGAAGAAAAAGGAAGGAAGGGGAGAGGGAGGGTGGGAGGGAGGGAGGGAGAGAAGGAAGGTTCTATATGATTTCATAAAACATTGTAGGATAGAAAAATTATCAAGATGTGTTCTAGAGTACATATAGATAGTTCTCGATCTCCGACCCCAATTGGGACCGGGATTGCTGTTATAAATCAATGCAGTTGTAAACCACAATGTCACGTGACCGCACCAACTAATGATGGCAATCCCAGCACTCCTCATTGTGGTCATTAGCCAAGAATATGGATTGTTAAGTGAGTACCCACCCTAATCCTTTCCAGCCTTGAACCTCATTAAGGTGAAGGACTGCCTTCAACTCCCCTCACCCATCCATCTCTCCCTTATCTATGTCCTTTTGGCCTCCCTGCCCCCTGCTTTAGGGGGCAGTAAGCAGACCCAGAACCACACAACTCTTTCAGAACCACACAACATATTTCAAATGATACAATTGAAATATGTTTAAGCCCACCCACCCTCATCCCCAAATGAACACATTGGTCAGACAACAGAAGAACGGGAATGTCTGAGCAGAAAATCTTTAGCATATTCCATCTGCAGACTCAATATCTGAAATGCATAGAATGCGTGCTCACCTGGTGTGCTAAACTACACAAGTAATGTGCTGTTAAAAACAAAAGCAAACTGCTTTTAGTGTTTGAGATAGATTTAGGGGGGACAGAGACAGCAAGGGAGAGTCAGAGAGAGCAAACCCTTTCCTTTATTGGAGAAGGATATGGGTTGGCCACTGACATCACTACAGTTTTAAAGAAATTAAATCATTCTATAATATAGAAGGAAACAATGGGGGAGAGCAGGATGGTCAAGGACACAGTAGGAATCTTCTTCTGAATTGCATTACTTTAAAAGCATTGTGTTTGTTTTACCTCCTGATTAACCTATCTGGAGCAGTAATAAGGGCAATAAGCCTGCAGCTTCTCCGCAAAGCAGGCCTAGGTTTTAATTCCTGCAAAGATCTGTGAGCTTAATTTAATTTAATTTAACTGATAGGAATTTAATTCCTGGAGAACTTCAGCTTCAGCGTGTGAGTTTTCATGATGCAGCTTTACTGGACTAAAACAAGTCAGAAATTTTATTACAAGTCATAATACTGGTTGATCGTACAGAAAGAAAAACTTTGCAAATATATACATTGAAACAAATGGCACTAACAACAACCATCAAATGTGCTCCTCTTTTTTCTCCTACATGAATAATCAGTGGTTGCTTTGATTTTTTTACAATGATATTTATTTTTAAAACCCTTTTTAAAAAAGACCAAACATTTAAAAAGACTTAAGTTTCTTTTCACCATGCCTTCTCCTCACATATTTCTGAATTGATATAAAAATGTGATTCAGTAACACTAGTTCATGATGGAGACATGGAGAGGCAAAAGGGGAGGGAGAGAGGGAGGGAGAGAGAGGGGGGGATTGGATAGAAAGATATGTGTTTAGTTTCCTAGCAACCACCCACATCAAGATTTTGTTTGCTGCTTTCACCATTCCTTGCACGCCTTACAGAACTGACTGACTATTTATTTAACACAAAACTTGTATTCTGTATATGTATTATTAGGTTCCCATATATGAATTAAAATGCCACAATTGCACAGTTAATAAACAATAAACAACGCATAAAGAACAAATTAAAATGGAGACAGGCTCAATACATACAACCCAAAATCAATACAGAGCAAATTTTATCAGAATAAAAAACATCTTCACATTGCCTCTGAAAACTGTAAAGCATAGTTTATTTTCCACCAGTGCTTCTGCTAATATTTATCTTTCAAACCATTGTGCTGTTATGATAGATGGATAAGAATTGTTTCATCAGATATAAAACATGGGTTATTTTGGCAACTACTTTATGTAGTGGTTTATATCTTATTGCATGAGTGAGTGATCTATTGTTTCTTCTGCTTTGCATAATCTGCACTTTGAATCATTTGATAATTTTTCAGTTCTGGCCATAGTTGTGCATTAGTTTGAAAACCTTGCTCTTGAGCAGCCAAAATCTAGCCTTCAGTTTCTTTTTTAAATGTTCCAGTTGTAAGACATTGCCAAGTTTTATTTGTATTCACTTTACATTTTACCAGTTATTAATCAGTCACTAATATTTCCTTTATGTAATATTTCATTAAGCTATTTAGCTGTAATTGGACAAAAAGTAGTCATGCAACTGATTATTTCCAGAAGTTCAGTTTTTAATCCTTTTCACTCAATTGTAACCAGTTCTGCTGTTATGATTAGTTCTTCCATTTATTTACTTACTTACTTACTTACTAAAGTCATCTTCAAATTCTTTTATCCATCCTTATTAGGCTTCTCTTGATTCTTACATTTTTTTTGTTTTTTGCTCTTTCATGTTCTTTAAATTACTTGCATCTGATTTTACTTTCTTGGCTCCAGTCTGATCTTCCACTTTGGGATTAAATATGATTTTGCTTTTGGTTTTCTAATTTTGTTACCAAGTTCTTTTGTAACCACCAATGCTGTACTGTAGGCAAATCAACTGGAGTGTTCAATGGATGTTATTTTAATCCTTACAAGCATCCTTTATTGTAGATGTCAGGTCTTTTTTGGGCACTATTTTCAATGCTGGCAGTCTTTGTCTTTCTGCTAGTAATTCTGCATATTGTTATCTGAGTTTCATCTGTTCTACTATTCATTTTCACAATTTTTCTGAATCTCTTCCAGACCTGCATCCCTGAATAGCTTATTTTTGGAAATGAATCTTCTTTGATCTGCTAATAATTGCTTGGTAGTATTTGAGTCTGAATAAATTCTTTTCCACAGTTCAAACATTTGCTTTAAGTTAGCCCTGCTTCATAATAGCAGGCTATAATGGTGAGATTTTCAAACACAATATACTTTTGTCTTGTCTGTGGTTATAATCCCTTTGATAAACCTACAAGGCTAAACCCTGGTTGCACAGCCATAGCTGCTGAGTCCCATTGCCCATTTGTTGACAGATGCCCAGAACTCTAAATTCTAAATATAGTCCTTGTTGATCTGGGCAACGATTGAGCCATTGTAGGATTCTTTTTTTGATTTCTCACCATATTAAATGGGTTGATTGATACACTTAGTCTAGCTCTTCTATTAAGACCTGTCTGGCATGGATGACTCTTCTGATAGACTACACTGTCTCCAGCAGAACTCTCAAACCCATCCAAGCATCATCATCCTCCATCACAAGGGGATATTCATGGAGAAGATTATTATTACATAATGTATCATGATATTATTATACAGAATTGTTTTAAGGTGCTTCAGAAGAAAGAACAAGAATCAATGGGTTTAAATTAGAAGGAAGTAGATTTCAGTTGGATATCTGGGACATTTCTTAATGCGAAGAAAACTGTTCAGCAATGAGCAGAGTACTTCAGGAGGTAGTGAACTCTGCTGAAGCTGTAACAAAGGCCGGATGGCCAAGTGTCAGGAACATTGTGAGGTGGGATCCTACGGCCAGAATACACAGCAGAACATGTAAACTCTCTTAAGAAAGCAGGAACCTGAAGATGTTTACCAGAAGTTATCATCTTGGACACCAGACTCAGTGGGAAGTCACCTAATCACAATCTCCTCTGTTATCTACAGATGTATTAAATTATAATAGCAAAAGCAACAGCACATACACTTAGATACCATTTTGTAGTGCTTTTACAGCTCTCTCCAATCAGTTTGCAGAGTCAGCATATTGCACCAAACAACTCAGCTCCTCATTTTACCGACCTCGGAAGGATGGAAGGCTGAGTCAACCTTGAGCCGGGTGAGATTTGAACTGCTGGCAGTCAGCAGAGTTAGCCTGCAAAACTGCATTTTAACCACTGCGCTACCATGGTTCTTATAACAGTATCTACATTTGCCTATTTCTGTAAACATTAATATATGCATTTGGGGGCAAACCAATATCATTTTAATCTGGGTCCCCCCCCCCCTGGTAATACATTGTCTCCCCGCTGGAATAATATGTAAGCAGCAATCTTAATATTTTATTTTATTTATTTTTATTGGTTCGATTTATATGCCACCCTTTTCCGGAGACTCAGGGCAGCTTACAATGCATTAAGCAATAGCCTTCATACTTATATACTTATATACCTTATATACCTGCTTAATAGGGCTTTCGCCCCCCCCCCC